CAGATGCCTCGTCTTTGATAGTACAAAGAGAAGGGCAAAATGAGAATGAGAAATTATGAAGTCAAGCCATTTTCATTTGTATAAATACGGAGACATATGTATCAGTATATCTTTACACACACGTACATGTGGGTTTCCAGTATCACTTCCTTGTAAAAATATGTGTAAAACCCATGAAGATTTACCAAAACTTAACATTGAATGCAAAAGAAGTTGGAAGAAGCCTCATGTAGGAGGCTATAAAACTAAACCAACTGAGACTTCATGAGACAGGGGACATCCTCACTTGTGAACAGTATTAAAACACCAACTTTATTCAGGAATACAGAATACATTTTTGAAGATTTCCAGTTTACAAAAGTTTAAGACAAGGTTGGGTTTCAACATACAACCTCCCTTAAAGCTCTAATGTAACATCTCCATTTCAAGTTGACAAAACCTCTCAAATCATAAAAAACCCAAAAGGACAAATGAAGGCCACAGACCCGTACTGGAATACATTCAGGCAGAATCCAGCACGGTATTGAAATTCTTTCTGCAATCCACGGGTGCAATATAGCCTCGTGTTAATAAAAAATATTTCAGCTCTAGTACGAACTGCGAGAAGAGCACTTGTCTTACCATTTTAGTTCCAGGCATTGTATGCAAAGTAGCTTGCGATGAGCAACAGTTAAAAACAGCACTTGCCATCTGATCACCACGTTAAAAACACAGCATTAAATTCTTCCTTCATTTATACAATTTTAAATATTCATTAAAAATTAAATTCAGAACCAGTGTCCCTCTATCCTTTTCATCGTTAATAGTTTTTCTTATCTACTGAAACCATTTGTCTTTCCTAAGATGTCTAAAAAGTAAAGCGCACAAGATTAACAAGCTGCAGCGTTAATTAAAATGAGAGTCATCATCTCTTTCCTCCACCCAGCTTCTAAATCTATCACAAGGGCCTTATGAGCTGTATCAAAGTGAAGTGGTGTAAATAAAACTGGTTTGACTTAAAAGGAGAGGAAGAACGAATGCGGAGTTATTTAAAAATCACAACGCAGTCAGTGTTGTCGTGTATGTCACTGTAGACAAGAGCCAAGGAAATCATTCACAGCCTCTCTTTTACAAGCACTACTGCCAGTTTGCCATTAGCACAATGCCAGAGAGGTAAATTGTCATTTGCCTTACGAGGAACTTCAGATTATTGTCAAGCGGATTCACTAATGGCCTAATTTTAAATACAGAGCACTCTGACTTCAGCAGAGGTTACAGACACTCAAAACTCCTGAAAATTTATTGATTTGTTTCTTTTTAAATAACCCAAATCTTAACGCCAACAGGCTGATCCGCATGCCTTCATCTACCTCAAGTAGTCATTGCTTCAAACTGTTTTGTTGGAATCAAATACATTAATAAATGTGCTGAGGAGAACTACTCATTACGGTGGTCACCATTCCATACAGCTGTGGTATCTGTATTTGGCTCTGGATGAAACCTTCAATCGGTTTTACTTCTGTAAGAATAGCTCTTTGAAATAACAGCCATTTGCTTAAATATTAAGTATAAAGGAAAGCTCCTAGAGAACTCACCTCAAACTAAAAGGTTAAGAGCAATTGCAAACAACAGAACGATCAATTCCAATTTTACTGGCTACTGAAAAGAAATCCTACCACATGGTATTTTGTGAACATTTAACTTCAGACTTCCAAGCCGCAGGATTTTCAATGAAATATTTCATTTCATCAGCACGGTTGTTGCTACCACGCTTTCCCAAAGATTCCACTGAATAATGCAGTATAACACTGTATTAACACTACTAGAAGTGACACGTTATAAACAATTTCTATGTGAAACCACAGCAATTTCCAAAGAAATCAGCTGGCAAATCTGTTCTACAAACCAGAAAACTGGAGTAAGATGAAAATCCCCCTTCAAGTTTTAGCATGCCTTTTTGGAACAAGATACTGAACTTCTGTACTCCTCAAAGTTCAGTGGTCCCCATAAGTAGCAACAAAGAGGAAGACAAGACTTGTTTCTCTTTTTGGATCTCTAGACAACGATACGTAACAATACCCAGAAATGTAGCTACCGGCCTCCCAAACCAATATTCAATCAGAAAGGCACAATCTCCTTTTGTAACTCGTGTTCTCAAAAATTAAAAGATTCCTATACAAAGATAAATACACCCTTAGCTGGAAGGGAAAACGTCACACCATTTAGAATGTTTTTTCTTTTTTTTTTGTTTTGTAAAGTCCAAATGGATTATCTTAATGCAAAAGTTACATGAATATATACAACCTGAAAGAGTATCTCTTTTTTTTATATATATATATATATGTACATATATGACAGTGCCTGACACAGAAGGCAGAAGCAGCAGGCTATCCCCACTCTTTTCCTACTTCTTAGCAATGCAAGGCAACGTTTTTCAGATGCCATAGGCAAACAGTATTTGGTTTGCACACACCCTGGTGTCTCAGAACACCCACGGTGAAATGCAGTCCCCCGTGGAAGGCTTGCGTGAGGGATACGCGCCACGGAAGTTATGCTGGGCACAGTGATTTAGTTTCACTAATACAGCCTTAGGCAACTTTAAAAATGAAATTACTGCCTAATTCTAATGAAACTACCGCGAACTCTTCAATAGTATGTTTTAAAGTCCAGTATAATGTTTTAAAAACTGCAACAGAAAAACATTAAGGCTAATTCTGATAGAGCACGATGTCGCTTTCTTACAGAGGCCAAGAAGAACCTTAATGAAAGGGAAGCGGGACACTGGGGCCCAGTGCTCCCAGGAGACAGCCCGGCAGCCACCTCTACTCTTAACCGTCTATGTACCTGCCTTTAACTGACCTGTAAAATAAAGAATAACTGTCTGCTCGGTGACAATCGCAGTCTGCCCATGGAGTCGGATGGAGTCATTAATTAGCCAAGTCCTGCTTTCTGAAGGACAGCATAATTACGTTGCTTGAGCTCCCAGCAAGGACGAAATCAGGTCCAATCTTGTACTTTACAAGGACCTAGGAGCATCTTCATCAACGCACTTCGAGACAGGTTACCCAAGCCTGTAACGAAAGGCTGACATTAATCTGCTTCCAATGTCAGCCAAGCCCATCAGCATCAGAATTCCTTAGTGCTCCCCACCACATCAGCTCAGTCCTGGAGTGACCTGTGCTTGTAAATCCAGCTGAAACCCTGACTCTTACATACCGTGGCAGTAGACTCCAGAGCTGGAAATGAAAAAAAAGCCACAAAAAAAATAATTCAGGTGAATGTGTGGGAACTGAGACTGAACTCGAGTTGTTCTCCTACCTACACTGAAGCTCAAAAATTCTTGGGTTCTGAGCATGTAACCTTTGGGCAAAAGAAGTTACCTTAGGGAGGTGGGGAGGAAGAAAGCAGAAGGTGTGGGCAGTCAGCTTCCTTCATTTCCATTAAACAGCAAAGTCTCTAATGACTCTGATCATGACATGGAAGAAGGAGTGGGAAATGTGTCTGATAGACAAATATAAAGAAGTTTTCAAGGCCAATTTCCCTCTAGACAAGAGGAAGACACTGCATTGTTTTCTGTATCCTGAGCACAAGCACAGCACTGCAGTGGCATTTAAATTCACAGCTTACCTTCCCTCTCGCTGCTCTGAATACCTTTACCTCTGAGATGCTTTCACATGGGGTGATTCAACACTGTGCACTGAAACACACTCCACAGGAGACCATTCCAAGAGTTAGGACAAAACAGACAAAACCAGAAATAATTCTGGTTTTCTGAATTTCAACCTAGCTAGAATTTCAACCAAATGAACACGAATAATGGCAAACTCCGTAAAAAACAATGACTTTTCATAAGTGAAACTTTGACATTTTAGAGTTCTACTGGTGCAGTAGAACTAAACCGATGCGACACACTACTTACATACATACACATAGTGTTAAACTCGTGTGTCCATGCATGTACGTATACACACTGTAGACAGGGCTGACAGGCACAACACCTTTCACTACATGACCAGCTTTCAGTTATTTTACAAATTTAACAAACTAGGCATTCACACTAAAGCTTTCTGTGACGGGCATTTGCCTCAGGCTGGTTTTGGTGTTCAAGATTTAGTCAAAACAGTTGGAGGTTTTTTTTTTGGTTGGGGTTTTTTTGTTTTGTTGTTTGGTTGTGGGTTTGTGGTTTTTTTTTTTTAAGAAAGAACACATGGAGTAATGTTGTTTTGCCACACTTGAAAAGAAGTCTTGTGCTGGTTTGTTGAGAAGCTTCAGTGCCTCTGTACTTAGCCTTGAAGTCTGACAAGATAAGCCAACCTTCGTGGTGCTCCTGAGAAAACCCATGCAAATTTGGTCTAGATATTAGCCAAAAAAACTGGGAAAAACCCCTCGTTTGCCCAGTGAGAGAGTTGTTGCATCCTCACAAGCTTTAACTTCGAAAATTACATTCACAGTGAGAATGTCCCAGGCCATGAAGAGAAGGGTCAAGTAGGACATTTTCTGCAATTTCAGCACTGCCAGCGGGCTAGCGTTGGGCACCAGACCTCCATGCAGAAAGACTGCCTCTCATGTGCTCCAAGGACCATCGGCTGGCACCAGGCGGTAAGAAGAAACAGCTCACGTGTCGACAGGACGGGAGGCAGTCTGAGAACAAGAGTCTGTCTGGCATAGGTTTTGTGTGCAACATCTGTATATATTATACATGCACATATATACATTCATATGCAGTAAATAGTCCAAGAAATACATCACATCAGCTCTTTGACACAGCACTGATGTTTCTCTTACTAGTCTGAACTCGCTCACAGAAATACTGTGGACGGCTGATGTGACTCTAGGTTTCTCCCTCACAGCTCTGTCTTTGATGAGGCCAAAATGCTGAATTCAAATATTAACTTAGTGTGGATTCAAATCAAGTCATCATTCAGGTGCATGGCCACTTGAAATCTGTTAGCCACAGCAGATTAACCCACACAGACTTCAAAAAGTAAATACCTTCCTGCCCATCCCAAACACTGGAGCAGTTACACTTCTCCTGCAGCAGTGTGGTTGACCAGAGAATCGCTTTGGTCTGTTGTCCTATCAAGAAGAGTTCTGTGGCCATCCATGCTGTCATGGATGTCTCTTGTCCAACTGCCGGCTGTGCCCAGAGGGCTTCCTGCCATGGGGGTGTCTGTGCTCACCAAGCTTCCCGTCCGAGATCGGTAAGGAGGAAGATCTGGCTGATTAGGGGATTCAGATTCAGAGCAATAAGGTGGTGGAGGAAGGTCAAACCAAGGCGGTCTGCTGTGAGATACACAACACAGTAAGAGGTTACTGAAAACAGTGGTACAGCAGTAAGTAGATCGTTTTCCAATTATGAAAAAACCAAACAGTATCTCTTTGCTTTTCCATGACTACACCTATCAGGAGATCTCAAACAGACCCGCCTACATTATTCAGGTCATTCCAAAACATCCACATCAGCATTGGGCACCAAGGTTTCTGGTCAAGATGCCACACAGCTGATTACCTCCTTCTTAACACTCTATACCCTGGTTTTCATGGGTACGCACTTCCAACAAATCTCGGCTTACCCTCAAAGACAGCTGCAAGAGGCAAAACTTTTTCCTGTATAACATTTACACTACCTGAGAAAGCGTTTTAAAAGAAAGAAGGTGAGCAGTGGATTTACACCTCTAGATAATGACATGAACACAAGAAAGCTCTGAGGAAACCTCCATTAAGTGACAGATATTAATGGCTTGCGGCCTACAAATAAATAACGGACTGAATTCTCCACATGACAAATCACTTTTGCTGTCATGACATCACATGCCGAGCAAGTGTGAAGTAGGCATAGACAAGATGAGTACGGGATTCAGGAAAACTGTTTTTTGGTTGTGATAGTAAACAAGGAAAGGGACTGAAGGGTTTAGCAGATTGATAACAGGTCTTGCGAGCAATTAGCTCTGAAATTGCTGAAGGTTTGTATCAGCCCAGGTGAGAAGCGGTTACAATCTGGACAGCTGCCCGTTTAGGTGTCCTTACAAATGAAAAGATACCATTATTATGAATGTCAACATTAAGACCAGGGAGCTGCTGCCAAATGCAGCAGAGAATAGGAATGTAAATGATTATACTCTCATTCTTAGATCCCAGAGTTCACACTAAAAAATACCAACAGGGTGACAGTGAACAATCCGGACCATTAAAGTTCATACCATGTCCTTTTTGTGTACAGGGGATGTCTGTCTAGGAGTTTTGTTTGGGAAGACTTCATAGACAGAGGTTAAAATGAAGGTTAATTATCTACAAATAAAACCAGTGTCATAACTACAAAAACATCATAACCCAAACCACATGCACCCACAAAACTTCAAAGCACTTTCAGCTATTTAAAATGAGAACAGCGCTTTCCATTTCAGAGTCCTGTTCTGTTCTTCGGTTCGTAAAAGGAAAGTAGTGCAGAGCAGAGGGACTATGCACTTTCTTTACGCAAGAACTGAAGACTTCTCACCCTTATATACTTACCATGTAAGATCAGAGTCATTCTTTTTTAAACAGTATGACCTACAAGCTAGCTGGTTTTTGGCAAAACTCCAAATTCAATTTTCATGTTTTGATTCCAGACTGGCACAGGACATCACTGCTAGACAAGTGATACCTTTCTTTGCATTCTCCTGCCATCCTCAAAATCTCTACTACCAACAACACAGGCTAAGAGAGCATGACTTAACTTTGCCTTAAATCCCTTTAATACCAGTAACAGTGAGGGCACTTGAGGACCACAAATTTTTCATACGCAAATTTGCTCCAATTTGGTCCTAGGCACATGACAGAATCGCAACGCTGTACTTCTGTCAAAAGCAGTAATAAGGATAAATGGAGAGCAGAAGCACAGATTAAGAGAGCTGAAACCAGTAGCGTGAAACTTTGGTTAGCGCAGAATTAGCTCCTGTACGTACCTTTGGTCGAGCACAGCCTCCGAATAAGATGGTGGAGAGTCCAGGTCCAGTGGCCTGGGATAGGCCTGGTTGGACATGTACTGGATCCCGTTGTTGACGTTGTAGGTGACGCTGCAGTGGTGCGGGTGGTCGAGGACCACCAGCCGGGACAGCAGGACAGGGTGCTGCAGCCGATGCACTGGCAGGGGCATGAGATTGTTGCGTTTCCGTTGGTGATGCAGGACTAAGGCAAGAAAGGCCACCACGAGCACAAAAATGACAGAGCTACCGATGATAGCATAGGTAATACTCGGGTAGTAAAGCAGCTGATTTTCTGAGGTCACATAATCTTGGCCGCTGCCTGCCTCTGCAAGACAAAAGGAAAACGGAGCCTGAGAGTTCTGTCAATTTTATATATGACTGCTCTTAACCTATGCTGCATTCTCCGCTAACGCACTGTGTGACAAAAACAAGTCTTCCTTTTTTCTTTGGGTTGTGCAAAATTAGCTTCTTAAAAGTGTATGCATGCAAATCAGAGCTTGGCTGACTATCACTCAGTCCATCCTCACCTGCAGTAAGTGTCAGCAAATAAACTACTAGGGAGAGACAAACTGAGAAAGAGGAAAACACATACTGTAGTAGGAAGTACATGCACTATCATGGGAGTATATCTCCCCCATTCCTACCCGTTAGTCGTAACTTTTTGTTTCCAGAGGCGAGACACCCAATTCCAAGGCATAAGCACAGCACCTCAGCTGTACTCAGCAAAGCACACTAGAATCAGAGATGTAAAAGGCCTGATCCTTACTTTTAATGACGACTTGCAGTGCGGTCAGAGTTTACACAGAGTGTATCAAAAAAGGTAGCAACTACATCCTGAGCTCCACAGATCTAACAGTCCAAAATAAGTACAGGAGAAAATATAGGTAGCTGCTCATAAAGGGGGGTTATTTGGATGTTTGCAAGCAGAAGACTTCCTGCTGGAAAAAATTCAAAAAAAGAAAGGGAACAGCAAAAACAGCGATGTAAGCCTGGCAGATGCGATACCAGTAAGATGGGAAAGTCTAAAAGCAAAGAGTGCAGTGAAAGAAGTGAATGGTAAAAAACCAAACCAAAACAAAACCCTCAAACCAAACAAAAACCCAGGTTAGGACAGAACAAGATGAAGAAGAGAAAATCATGAGCTGGGCTGAGGCCATGAAAGATCACACAAGTGAGCTTCAATTTGAGCTGGAAACGGTGAAGGGAAAGGTTGGAAATGGTAATTGAGTGGCAGGGAGCAGGAGCAGAAGCACGACCCTAAACAGCAGTATTAGAGGGATGAGGAGGAGAGATAAGAAGACCAGATCAGAAGAGATACTTCAGATAACATATACTATATGTTTTATTTGCAGGAGGCACTGAGGAATTGACAAAGTTACCGAGAATTGTAAGAGAAGTTACGGTTGGATTTGTTTGTTCAGAGGCACGGTACAGGAGAAGGAATTCCCGCCTGGGCTCTGGGCCCAGAGAAACAAAAAGGAATAATGACTTTGCACAACATCCGAACAGACCTTGAACTGTGTGCAAATCTTATGAAAAAACACAATAAAAGGCAACCAAATGCAAAGGAGGAAAGAGGCTCAGAGAAACAAAATGGCCTAAACACATAAAGGCCACTGCCAGCACCACCGAACCGTGTTCCCCGTCCTCCATTTCAGCCCCATGAGTATTGTTTTCTTTTTTGGGGGTCAATTTCTATTTCTGTGCAGGCTGCAACTCCTTACAGCCTTAAAAAGAAAGATACTATTCTGACACAAGACATTCATCTACCTCAAGAAAAACAAGAGGCTGAGTAAAAAAACCAAACCCAACCCCTCGACCTCCAAAATCCACACAATTACAAGAGGGCTACCTATCCAAACTCTTCATTTCTCTACTGCAGAAGGCTGGGACAGTAAATCTTAACATACGATTTTCCTTTCTTTCACCTGTCAACTAAAACCGCTTTTTAGTCAGTCACTCAGAATTGCAACCGAGCCACTTACAAATGTCTCTAGCAACAAAACAATGAAATATATACTGACTGTGTGTGGCATTATAGAAGAACTTTCCTCGAGCACCCGTTGTTCTGCATCGAGATGCTTTGGGTATTTCTCTCAATATTTGATTTTGGTAGTTCACTTCCATGGTTAAACACCAAACCATATTTCCCAGTATCACTAAAAATAACTTATGCATTAGTTAGGTAAGATAATACAACATAAAATGGCTAATCCATTAAACAACTCCATTTTAAATCAGTGATATTTTAGTAAGAAGGGATGAGATGGGAAAGAAAGACTGTACCAGACTAACAGAACATGATTATTGGTCCTGCTATTGACTACAAAAACTACCACTCTTAAATAGATGTTTTACTGATGGTGCCACTACAACCACAGCCCAGAGCTTTGCAGGCCAGTTGCAAGCCACAAAGTTTTCTTGATATCTAGTGTCACACCTCAGCGAGGATCCTTACGAAATTTATTTTCCCATGCAACTGTGCTGGTGAGAAAGCAGAAATCATGGTTACCAGTCAACACTAGGTGTCTGGCTCACTCAGCAAAGTGAACAAAGTCTGCATGAAGAATGTAAATCAAAGCAGAAGGGAGGAAAGGAATTTACATGCATTGGTAATTTTAATTACAGCTCATCACATATTGCTGTGATACACTCCCTGAATTCACCAGCTGAGAAATGAATTCATGTCACATATCCCGGACAAAGGCCAGTGCAGGGAGTATAGTGACAAGCAGATCATTTCTATGCAAACATCAACAAGTTTATTTGCAAGGAATGATCCATGGATGAAGACCACTACCTGCAATTCTTCGGTACAAGGAAGGGAAATATATTATGACATCCCAGTAAAATACTTTCATTCAACTTGGTTTGCTGGTTGCAGTGCATCGGTGTAAGACTGAGAACAGGACGCCTCTGCAGACCTGATGAGACCTAATTAGTTACCACGGGATCATTCTGCAGCAGCACAGTCCCTTCTCTTTATAATCTCCATCTTATTAAAAGGGAAAAGAAAAAATAATGAGAGAAGTGAATTACACGTCAACTGCTTTTCAAAACTTTTAAGGTCATCCATCTGTTTAGGATAGTATCTTCTAGGTCCTGCACAAAAAGCCTCCATAAATCCAAACAGATTAACCAGATTGCTGAAGAAAAAGTATTTTGTCAAAAGTCAGATGGGATCTGATGACCAGCTTTAAGACAGTCTGAAACAAACCATTTATCTTATCTGGTTTTATGATCCTTTTCATACAATAACTACCAACCACCCACGTATCGTGCAGAGATTTGGGGTAAATTTGGAGTTAACATGCTGGTTTGGAGCTCTGCGATTACTGTGGCTAATGAAACACCATTTGTTTGCCAGTAACTCTCTACTCCTTTTCAGGTTTTTAGATCTGTTGCTCGTATTCCTGTTCAGTTAACTGTATCTCTGAGAACAAGACGAATTGAAAGGCATGCCTACACTAGGGACTACAGGTCTGCGTAGAGATCTCCGAACCAGGAGCACAGCCTTGAAGGTGCTGTTTTGAATAGTGCTATCTGGTGCAGCCTTTGACCCGGCCAACATAGCAATATTGCTTTTGGGATCTGAATGAACATCTCCATCAGTTCAGCTAGTTCTAGCCTGCGCCTCTAACATGGAGCTGCACTGAGGTGTACAGAGATATCCTGCGAAGAGGAAAGAATCTGGTTTATCTGTCAAGTGCTCTTTCTTCTGCCCTGGGCAATGCCAAGTACTTCGCGTGGAGACCTTCTCTCTCCCCACGCAAAGAATCCAGCTCTCTGAATGTGTGTCATCTTTATACTGTTAGAGGAATGGACACAGAGCCCACCGTACCTTTGAGACAGAGTTCTGCCTAGGAAGATTCAGCTATTAATGAAACAAAGTCTTCTTCCACCACCATAACCACCTTATTCTTGCCTTGCCTCATAGGTGGGTTTTCCGGGCCAAGAAGTCAAAGTCTTAAGGTCCCTTAGCAAAACACGCTCACAAGTGAAGTCTAGCGGTATTTCGCTTCTGCTGTGGTGTAGTTTAAACCAAGAAAGACCCACCTGCATCTAACCTCCCTTTTCTAGCACAGTCAGTAAATCCAAAGCTGCAAAAGACGAAAGGAATGTTAACCTGAGCCTATCGGCGCTGCTTGGCTTGTAGCCCTAGAGAGCGTAAAAAGCTTTGTGAATAATTTAGGAAAAGACTGATAAAGGAAACATAACGGGTTGTGCTCAGAGGGCTATCTTATTGACTGTGAACAAATTTGCTGTTTCAAAGTTTTTAAAAAGATCTGAGTAACTGCATTAAGTCTGCAGACACAGGGATGAGGGGCTATTATTTTATCTTTCGCAATCCTCTGCTCAAGCCTGGCTTTTTCCAAATCACCAGAGAAAAAGCTTTTGAAATACATAATCTGGGCAGACACCCGTAGCCTTAATGAGCACGAGTCACGGTCCGTCTCCAACAAAGACGCTACTGTAACAACACATTTAAATTCCAACCGGTTAAAGAGCAAAGCTGCAGCTTGGAAAGTTAAAGCCGACAAAAATGCTACACAGACTGGCAGAGCTTCTGCACATTCTTTACTTTTTGTGCTAGGAGTTCCTAGGGCATCCAGCTTAGTCTCCAAAAGCTCTTAAACGTCTCATCCTTGATGACTTTATGTCCTACTAAAACAAATCTCATGGACTTTCAGCATATTCTTTATTCCAGTGACGTCCTTTCTAACCCAGTTTTAGCTTTGTTCCCTACTGCCCTTCTCCAAGCTACACACAAGACCTAGCCCAGACAGCACAGCACCTTGACTTCATGGAGCTTCGTCCTCAGTTACCATTTGTTCCCCTCCCCAAGCAGCTTCCCGTTTCCCTTACACACCCCAGACAAGGATTTGTTTTCAACTGCATTCAAAACACGTTTCTGCCCTGCTTTGGCTTTCTCCGTTTCAGAGACAGAAGAGAGCTTTGTTAACAGAGGTGTTACACATACTAAACAGATCTTATCTATGGGGACTGGCCAAAGGAATACAATATGATTACATCTTTGCATACCAGGCACTTGCTAAATGGGTAAACTTTCTGGGGAAGCAGCAAGATGAAACCCCAAGCTCCTTCCAGGTACGTCTATGACAGCGATGGCTTCCCATCCAGACAATATCGACCTGCACACATGTCCTGGCTTGAAATGGCACCAGGTTATTCTATGTTTCATCCTGTCCTAATCACAAGTGTCCCCAATTACCCCTGGACCAGAACCACAGCAGCCAGCACAGCCCTCGAGCTAAGAAGCTGGAGCAGAGGGCAGCTCTATCCCCAGCTCCTGAAGCTGCCCAT